AGACACCTTCTTGAAATGTCACTGGTTACTGGGTTTCTGGTTTTTTCTGTCACAACTTTAGGCACAATTGACAATGAAGTCCCACTTCTGGGCCACTGTTTCCTTAATTGTGAAGGACAGAAACTCAGTCCCGGCCCAGATAATCCTCTTCAGTAGGGACAGTGCAGCCCTACAAGAAACATCAGCTTGATTCCTGTCCCAGATTTCAGTGACCCCAAATTTGTCCAGACTCCTAAAATCTCGCCATAAACACGCACTGATTTGAGCTGAGCTTCATGTGAACAAACAGTCAAGAAATGGGGTCCCCTCCCTTTCATTTCGTCCATTCAATATTGCTTCTTGCTGCTTAAGGCAATCAGTACACTGATATCCTTAACTAATCAGAATCCTTACCCAATCATAAATTCTTTTGGTTGCTTGAGACAAAGATCAAGCAAATTGCAGATTCATCAAATCTCACCGAATATCAGATATTGATTGTGAATAATAATTTAATATAAATTCCAAAGCCCCAAATGATCTTATATTAATTAACAGACGCCTCAAATATCTCAAATTCCCTCTGTTTATTTGTGTATGCCCACTTAAGGGTGTTAGTCTTGATCACTCTTCAGCGAATCAAGAGATTAACCTATTAAATTATTCATGTAAAGTATGGCTTAAGTAAGGCAATTTGCATAAAATTCCTTCAGTTCTCCTTTCTTTAGTTTTCCCTTCTTCACATATGACTTCATTCCCTCTCATCTTCAATCGGGTAGTGACTTTGGAATCCTTTTCATGTGTTGCTTCCTTTACTTTCCTTTCTACACTTCCATGAAGGTGATTTGTTGCTTTTTTAGAAGAATATAGACTTCATTAAGAAACAATATCAACTACATTTATATTGATTTAATTAATGTTACTAATTTAATATATTTATATATTAATCTATTTTAGAGCAGAATATTATGTAATATTCCTAGCTAGTAGGCAAATGATGCATGTCAGCAGAGCCAAAGGCGTAAGATCAGTGATGCAAAGGAGGGAGAGAGAGAGAGTTATTTTAATATAGCAAAGCTCTCATTAGACAATGATTAGATTAGGAGAGAGATAATTAACTTTGTAATTAAGAAAGAGCATGCCTCAATTAGTTTATATATTTAGATTGTAGAGGGTAAACATGCTATCACTGTAGACGCCCACAGACATGTGAAGACTCTTCTTCTCACGCATATTTATGGAATTGATGGTTTATATAATAATGTGCTGAGATTTCAAGTGCATGTTTATATATGCTATTTAATTTAAGTTAACCAATCATTCTAATTAAGCCTTTTCATTTTACATTGAATCTGTTCTTCTGTTCTACTTCTAGAGGTCCTTGTCTGTTCGTTAGCCTTTACTTAGAAAATTTATTTCCAAAATATCAACCTCATAAGGATCTCCTTATAATATTTTTTGAAAATTCAGTTTTCAAATTGCAAATATCACAATATATCAAATATTTTCAAGTGGGTTATTCGAGTTATAAGTATCTATCATCTTCTTCTTATCCAAGGCTTCAAAATATTGCAATATATATCAAGATGTATTGAGCATATCGTATCGTTCCAATGACACCCTGATACATTAAATAACAGGTATTTTGGGGTCTAAAACCAACCTCCTGTAAAATTTTGTAAGAAAAACTAAAAACCAAAAAACAGGAGCATGCCTTTTGAAACACTCGATACGCAAATTCGTGCATATTGGGTGTCTCAATACTCTGAACCTTGTTCTTATCTAATTTATTTTATGGTTTTTCTAATGGCTAGATAGCAAACAAGTAATCTATAAAAAAAATAGGATAGTAAACAAATAGGTCTGTGGAGTTATATTTATTTAGAAGCATTAGATAAGTATTTTATTAATTATTAACTATCAAAATTTTTAATGTTTTTAGTACATGCTTGAAATTTGGAATAAAATTTGAGAATTTATTTTATGATGATAATTAGTTGATATATATATATATATATTAATCTTGAGATGACTGATTTCAACTTGCATTTACCTGCTTTAACTCCTATGTAACAAATGGGCCTTTTTTTTTATTAAGGGCACCCTGAAAAAGGAAAAAAAAAAAAACAGTTTAATTAAGCTTCTAACATAATGCAGCAAAGCTCACATCAAATCAAACTTGAGAGCTTGATTAGACCATGAACAAGGAATTTCACTAGTGTCCTTGTGAATCTCCCCATTGAAGGTTACAAGGATTATCTCCTTGTGCAAGTTGTGTTTGAAGGGATACTAGATTTCTTCTTGAACTACTCAAACAAGGTGCTACTTTGTCTTCATCCTTTTATCTCGGCCTGGTCCTTAACAGAGAAATATGTTCTTGATAAGTACCAGAGAAATATGTTAGAGCCCACTTGCTCAACTGGCTATATGTGACAGCAGGTGGTTTTGGATTTCTGTAAATTCAAGTGGGAACTTGTGTTTGACTATTGAGTTTTACATTAGGGTTTTGTATTTCCAATGTTAATTATAATTAATGGTATTTTCTATATATTTGTGGTTTAATTAATAGGGCTTAGTTCTCTTATTGCACTTTTAAAAATTCAACTTGCTACTGTTCATTTCTAGTACTAATTTTCAAATAAAATAACATAAGAAAGCTACATTTCCCTTCCCATGATTTAACACTAAATATTCTTTTTTGTGTGATAAGTAGCAGTTAAATATACTAAATATCCTTTTGATTTTTTTTAGTCCTTAATTTATTTCACTAATAGGGTATAATTGAGTTGTTTAATTATTTTGGTCAACCGGAACAAGTTGGAGGAAACTATATATTTTGCAGACAAAGAATGTTGGCAAGGTTACATCTGATATCCTCATCCTAATCTAAGCTTTCAAAATTTTTTATTTATTCCTTTTGATCTTGCTAGCTGCTTTTATATGAGTCAATTATTCTGATACTAGCATTACATCATAGACTCCTTCTATGGGTTTAATCTTTTGATCATTGTTTCAAAAACCAGATGAAACATTTACCGGCCGGCCGGCCAGCGGCTGGATCATCAATTCATGGCACAAGTCCAGCCTGGTTAGACCAGACTAACCTAGGTTGGATACTGGATAGTGATGCTACTAACCCTAGTAGACACAGACAAATAAATGTAATATAAGGTTAACACTTGTTCAATAGCTTAATGGACCAGGCAACTGGTCCTGTGAAAAGTTGGTTTTAATATTGGACATTCAAGCTCACAACCAGTCCCATGATTTATGGACCATGTTCTCAATGCCAGCTAATCTTCCCTTTGCTCGTTTTATCTTGATATTGACATCTTTTGCTATCAAGCTCAACGGATTTCTTGGTTCATCTATTTCAATTCTCTAACAAGAAGATTACTGTCAATGGATTGAAATTCATACCCAAAATGCGTGGAATTTAATGATCAAATATGGAATTATTAAGGGAATTATCAAACCAACACCCTCATATTCCAACTCCCAAGCGTGGCAGCCAATCATCTCTTGCTTCAACGGTCAAGCAGCATCTCCCCCACAAAAAGGGCCCAATGGGCCTTCTCTGAATCCACGACTCACTCAGACAGCTTGATGGGCCCATGGTGGGCCTCCACTGGACCCGGGCCTGCCAAGAACTTCTCTCTTTCTTCCTTTTCCACATTATTCACTCTTCAGGCATTATAATAACCAGGAATTAAGTCATTAATTAATCAACTTTTTGGCTCAATCAAAAGCTTTTCTTGTGGATTAGAAGAAATCCACAAGTTGGATGCTTGAAGCCTCTGAGAAAAGTTGGAACAGAAAATTAGAAAGAAATCCCAGAAAGGAAATGAAAAGAAGCCGTAATCGAATCACATTTGCCACAACAAGATTCCTAATCAAGGCCCCCCCTTCCTGTTTCTCTTCCTCGTTTGCATTCTCACCGTACATTTTTCGTATATACCTTAAATACCCTTCTAATACTCTAATTTATACAATTTTCTATATGGAAATATCGTCCTTTTTCTAGTTGACCCTAGTTACTAAGATCACAGCCGTACAAAAAACAAAATCCAGTGGCTGCTGCTGCCCCAAAGGCCCAAAAGCCTCTGGGGTGGGACCTCCCAAGTTGATATTTTGATTTGGTATTTGGACCGTCTTATCTAAAATCAGAAGACTTCTATTTCGGGAGATACAAGTTGTGCCACGAGGGCAATTCTGTCCTACAAAAGATAAGAATTTCCCAAAATAGATATAAATTCAGGAAGCCTGAGATAAAGAGGAAGCCGACACGACACCACCAGTGGGCCACCGCAGCGTCTGCCACGGAAGAAAATTCTCTTCCGGATACACGTGTCAATCCCCTGTTGGCTATACCTCCAGACATATTTATACAGCTTGGCATGCATGGTCACATCATCACAACAAACGAGTCATGATGAGGACGAATACATGCCCATCACTGCCTTCAAAACAAAACAAAGGTGGGCCATGGTTGTAAAATCTCTTTCACACATGAAGCCCAGGATCTAAGCACGTTTCGATCAAGATATTAGCGCCGGTTGGGTCCTCCCCTAGTCTCACGGCCTTGGACCATCTGATCAACTTTATTAGAATCTTTTCGTTTTCCAATCGGACATTATACAATTGGATGGCTAATATCATCTTGCCCGACTTTTCATCTTAAGTGGGTGGGCCCCTGCCGGATGTTGGTGGCTGTATCATGATCATGACCATGATGAGTGATGACACCCCCATCATGATCAGAACCATAATCCGTCCTTATGAAGGATCCGCACAATTCCAAGGAGGATGGGCCCACCCTAGCCCACCAGGATTCCCCGAGATCAGACTGATTCATATGTGGGCCATGAGGATCTAATGGCCGTTTGATCAACATGATAATGATAGGATGGCCCAAGCTGACGTGGCTCGGAAAACCCGGTGAAATTTTCGGAAAGCGCCACGCTGGCACCGGTCTATATATAAGAGAGATGGACGCATATTGGAGACTGGAGCACGAGAAACCTGAGAGTTCTAACTGCTTTCAGATTCGTCAGTCTCTGCAACTTCTGGTCTTCTTCTGTTAAGATTTTCTGATTTCTAGTTCTTCACCGTTCCTCAGCCATGCGCAAGCTGTCGGTAAAGATAGCGGAAGCACCAGTAAAACCTCCGCTAAAGATGGAGGAGGGAGGATTGGTAGTGCGGGAGTATGAGGAGAAGAAAGATAGGGTGGCGGTGGAGGAGATGGAGCAGCGGTGCGACGTCGGGCCCAGAGGGAAGGCTTCGCTCTTCACCGACGACATGGGCGACCCCATTTGCCGAATCCGCCACTCCCCCTCTTATCTCATGCTGGTACGATCGAAAGCCAATTAACACTGACCGGTGCTGTAAAGTTCTTTACCATCTTTATTCAGTGACCTCATTTCTGTTCCTTTTTGTTCTGAATAGGTTGCAGAGTATGGAGAAGGAAGAGAGATTGTTGGAGTGATAAGGGGTTGTATAAAGACTGTAACGAGAGGGAAGCAACCCACCAGTGATTTCAGTATTTACGTGAAGGTTGCTTACATTCTTGGACTTCGGGTATCTCCAACTCACAGGTTAATTATCGAATCTTTCTCTCTCTTTCTGTGATCTCAGATGATTTTGATCCCAGAATTCATGAAACACTGAGCCAAATCGAGATGGGTCTTTTGGCATTCCTTGAGCCGTTTTCAGTTTCACCCATCGGAAATCCCACCTTTCTCGCCTGTTCCGCCCTTTCTTTAGTCGAGAAACGTGTGGTTTCCAGAGAAGGGACTGACTCAGACTGACTTTCTCTCCCCCTCTTTCTCTCTCCATATTTTTCTCTCTCTAGAATATCATGGGTTGTCTTTTTGGAGTAATCGTCTTTTAGTTCATAGACTCTCTCTCACCATATAATATAATAGTTAATATAGAGCTCGTTAGAGGAGGAACGATTAGATTCGACTGTAATAAAGTGAAGAAAACGATTCCCACGTCACACAAAGCTGACAACGTAGACAATGCGCACGATAGTTGACATTGCCTCTATTTGCTAACTTGTACCCACTTCTGAACCAGAGGTTGACACGTGTTCCGTTTTGAAACCTTTACTCTCAGGCGGTTAGGAATCGGGACGAAGCTAGTGGAGAAGATGGAGGAGTGGTCCAGGGAGGAGGGTGCGGAGTACGCGTACATGGCCACAGACTGTGACAACGAGGCATCCATCAACCTGTTCACACTAAAATGCGCCTACGTCAAGTTCCGCACTCCTACTGTCCTGGTCCAACCCGTGCACGCCCACTACAAGCCTTTGGGGTCGGGCGTGGCAGTGGTTCAGCTGTCAGCACAACTGGCCGAGTTCGTCTACCGCCGAGTCTTCGCCAACTCGGAGTTCTTCCCCAAGGACATAGATGTAATTCTGTCCAACAAACTCAACCTGGGCACGTTCATGGCCCTACCCAAGAAGGCCCTGGCCAAGTGGGACCCACAGACCGGCCACCTCCCGCCGTCGTATGCTATCTTGAGCGTGTGGAACACAAAAGAGGTTTTCAAGCTTCAAATGAAGGGGGTATCCTCGATAACGTACGCCTGCTGCATAGGGAGCCGGTTACTGGACGTGTGGATGCCGTGGCTAAGGATACCCTCCATTCCAGACGTGTTCCGGCCGTTCGGAGTGTATTTCCTATACGGTCTCCACATGGAAGGAAAGGGTGCGTCGCGTCTCATGAAAGGTCTATGCACCTTCGCACACAACATGGGGAGAGATGACCCTGGATGTGGGGCCGTGGTTGCCGAGGTGGGCCGGCGGGATCCAGTTAGAGAGGGAATCCCGCATTGGAGAAGATTTTCATGGGCGGAGGACTTGTGGTGTATAAAGAAGCTAACAACCGCGAAGCACGATATAGAGGAGGAGGAGGAGGAGGGGACCCTTGATTGGATTAGATCTCCGCCGCCGTCGCCTGTCGTTTTCGTTGACCCTCGTGAATTTTGACTTTTGGGGCCATGTACCGATGCCTCACGCAAACAAAATGTTCATAACTTGTAGTTCGTATGGTAGGAATGTGAAACCGTTTTTTGTCCATTGTAACAAAATCTGATCGTTGGATGGATTGATTAAATGTAATGAAACTGATGAATCGTGCGGCTTTGGTTAAAAGGGCCCACTAATTGGACATGTGGATAAGCTCTAGACTAATAGACTATTGATTAATGCAACTGTGGATTGTGGAAACCAGCTGATTAAACACCTAATTTGGCTATATTAGCTTTTCAATCAAATCAAATGACTGGAATTTGAACTTTGATCAGGGACACAGGAATGGAATTGGAGGCTTTGGAGCCTATTTCCATTTGGGTCCACTTCTTGGGTGAATGGAATTTGCAAATGTTTGAGAGTGCTTAATGTTAAAAAATAAGTGCTTATTTGTAAATACGTATTCACTGGTGTTTGGTGAAAAAGTGTTTATTTCAAACACAGATAGCATAAGTATTTGAAATTTAGGTGACAGGTCAAGACGGGTCAGAAAGCATAAGTGTTTTTTAACAAGTGATTAAAAATAAGTACCTTCTTGGGTATTTATTCAAAGAAAACATATTTTAATAAAATAAGTGTTAATTGAGACTTATTTCCATGAATAAATACTTATTGAAGCTTATTTATCAAATGCCAATAAAACACTAATGGGTATAGATCTGATTTCAAATTAAGTGCTTATTCTAATAAAAACTTCCAAACATGGACTTCATCTCTCAACTGAGGATTTCTAAATTCCTAGGGGGCCTAGTGATTTATTTGAGACCCCTACCAGAATTCATCTCAATTCTCCCAACACAGCCTTTGCCGGCGGTGATTTCGACGACCCAAAATCTGATCGGATCTGTAATAGGTGTAGGGTGTGCTAAAAACAAATGCCGGCCTGATAGGTATGAGTCTAAACATGATCTGAGTCAGGTGTGATGCCATTAATTAATAAAAGATTTAAGTGTTAAATTAATTAAATGAAAATAGGGGGTTTTTGGTAGGTATAGAGTATTATGGTTAAGAAGGCATGATTGGTGGGTGACTCTAAAAACGATCCTCTATATCTGGTAGGTACAATGTATGATTAACATTTGGTGTAATCTAGGTTTTAGTTTCTTTAATATAATAATTAATCTGATCAAATCATGTAGACCATGCGTTTGAATACTATTCACAGAGAAACATCAAATTATCCAATGCACTATTTAAATGGATCAATGCAGTCAAAAAGTGACTAAGGGAAGCACATGCCAGCCACTAATCACAAATTACTCAAAGTCTACTGTTCTAATTGGGATCACTTATAAAATCCACAAGCAAACAGAGAGAGAGAGAATGTGTTGGGCAATCAAAACTCCATGAGAGAAGGTAAAGAATCCATTGAGATGCATCATCAGAGCAACAGCTCCCCACCTAAAAGCAAAAATGTAGGAGACCCTCTGGGCCATGCAAACAGAATAGGGAAGCATAGACAATAGGGAATGAACAGAGCAAATTTGGGGTCTAGAAGCCATGTGTCAGATTGTGGAGTTCCACCATTCACTTTTGCTGTGAGACGTGTCTCTTTCTGAGGCGTCATCTCCACACTAACAAATACAGAGAAGCTCTCTCTCTAGAACAAGAGAACTTTGATAGGTATAACAAAGCTGTTTTCTTTTAAGAGAGCTTCTTTTGTAGGGGATACGTGCGTTTCAAAAGAGAAATAAAGGAAGATTCATCACAAGTAGGGACCTGTTCAACAGTTTCCTGGACCACGTCTATACAAAGCAGACCACAGAGATTAGGATATTTTTTATGAAGACGATATTAATGGGGTAGTCCGTTGGGCTGTGATTTTTAAATTTTCAAGGCAGTTTATTTGTCTTTTGTGAAGCTTCTGGTTGGTTGGGGTCAATGAACCAAAACCCTCACTAGGTTCATTTTAATATTTATTTTACCAAAGTTCACCTTTTTTCCCCTAAAGCCAAATGTTTAAATAATTTCATTTAATGAAATTTCAGTTTAGAAGTGCCAACCTTGTAAGCTTGAGAGAGAGAGAGAGTACTATTTCAATCAGGATTAATGTTTGGATTTACTAATTAAGCTATTTGATTTTATGCAACTTGGGTGGTTTGGCTCAGTAATTAATCAAAATCAGATGGACTAATGAAGAACTAATTAGTCGACATGACCTATGTTCAATTAAGGCCACACACGTTTTTGAGTAGGTTTAAGAGAGTTAACATCTATAAATGGACAGTGTACTTGTATTTGTCAGCATTCCCTTGGTCAACTGTTTTTGAATAATATAAATTTGACCTTTTCTGCAATAATTGATTCATTTAAAAAAATCCATATCATCGGTATGAGAAGTAATCCAAGCCAAGTGATTGGATTGTTCGAATATTATTTTGTTGGTGGAAAGACTTGAATTTGGAGCCTAGTGTAGGTTAATTGATCTAATCTATTTCGTTAACTTGTTTAGACCTATTTTAATGGAGTATAGACTAACGACAGTCAAATAGACCAAATGTGGGGTAGGTAATTCAGAATAAAATCCAGCTCTAGAATTGAAAAATCTGATCATATTGATTCTTTGACTGAGTTGAGTGGTGATATTGCTGGATAAATTCTTAGGATTGGACTTGGGTAGGCCCCAACTGATATAGCCAGCCAGCCTGAATGCAACCTCTAGCTTAGGGTGGCATATAATGTGGCAAAGTGATGAGTTAAATCAGTTTCAAAGCTATGTGAATTTTGGTACCCAATTCCATCCAGACCTAGATAAACCAAAAGGGCTAAGAAAATGGCTATACACCCAGCAAAAAAAAAGAAAAACTTGAATGGAATAGATTGGAAAGCTGCCCAACCCTAGATCCCAAAAACCCTAAAAACCCATCTGAGATATGCATGGGTTTGGGATTAAGCTAGCTATCCACAAAGTAGACAGAACAAAGTGGCTTAGCTTCTCTCTGGTTGGATGCATTAAAGTTCTACAGACTACAGAGCCAATCTTGATCTATCAACCAGAAAGGAAGGAATCATGAAGTAAAGAATGTAGAGAAGTGATTAAACCTAAACAATTCTTTTGGGTAAGAAGTTAGGTAAGGTACATGCATCTAGGCTTAATATGCTAACCATGTGAGTGATGAAGCTGTGGGATCAGGTTGAGGGAAGAAACTAGAAATACTGAAAGATGTTTCAGGCATTGTTTTCAGACTTAGATAGTAAGGAAAACGTGAGGACATGAAAAGCTGAGACATCTGAAACGATTCTTTATTCATGCCTTGAACTCATCGTCGCATGTTCTGAGGTGACAAAACAGCTATGTCTCTCTTTCTCTCTCCACAGCTATCTGGGTTTTGCTTTGTTTTCTTTCGCAGAAGAGTCAATATCAGACTGATGGCCTTTTGCACTTTAAACAATTAAGCAATTTGCCATGTGAGACAAGCACTTCTGATTATCCTTTCTTTGAAGAAACTTTGTTCATAGGTCAAAGATGAAACTTTCCAGGAAAGAGAAAGTCCGGCCTTCTTTAATTATTTATGGATCCATTGAAACTTGCAGAGAAGGCAAGAACAGTAAAGACACAGAAAACAAAAAGCAGAAAGTACTTTTATGGGATAGGAAATGTTAAAACACGTTTTGTTTTTCATTTGGGAGAAACATGTTGAACTTGAATATGGAATTTCGATTTCCGATTTGGGTCAAGGATTCTTTCTGCATGGCTGCCAAGGAAAAGCTAGCTTTGATTCAAAGCACAAGCAAGAAAGTTGCATGCTTCATGAAAGTGCAATGAGGGAGATTGAAAGAGGAAGGAGGAAGAATTCATGGAATTTGATTAATCAATCTTTATCAACTTCAAAACAAAAACAACATTAACTCTTGTTGCCACGAAGAATTCATAGATGATGATAAAAAGGGGTCGTTTTTTCACTAATTAGAAAATAAATTCTGGAGTAGTGCAATCGGGTTTGTTTTGTACTTTGAGTGCTGAAAACAAGATGGAGTTGTCGGATATGTTGCATCATGTGCAGTGACATATATTTGCACCATTTATTCGGTGCATTAGGGACCTACGGTTGATGGAAAGCTAGGAAGGTGACAAATAGTGTGCTAAATACGGAACAATATTGTGCTATTGGTACAGAAAAAATGTGATTCTCGCTTTCAGCAGAGAATTATTCTAGCTAGCTAGCTAGCTAGGCTTTCAGAGAAAAATGTGTTTCTCTTTCATAAATGGCTTAGGGCTGCTGAAATTGGGCTTATTGCTTATTGATTTGTATTTTAGTGCATAGTTACTAAGGCTGCGTTTAGTTGCAATGCAAATGCAAATAATGTACACTACATATTTACCCATTTTTTGGTTCATGAATGCAAAAACGATTCACATTTTAAACCGTTTTCGCATTCATCTTGTTTGTTTGAAATCGGTGCAAAAGTGTGAGCCCATCATTAAATGCTCTAACTATCTTATGTTCCAATGCATTAACTTTGGTCAAAAAGTTAATTATCAAAAGAATACAAAATTATATCCAAAAAATAGGTACAGTAATACTCTCTTTTTAGAGTAAAAAACTGTCAAAAAATACATTTTTACTCTCATAATCATTAATTTTTTATGTTTCAAACAAACACTCGCAAACGTGAACCAGAGTACATAAATACCCTGGTTTGGCGTTTGTATCTTAAACAAACAAAGCCTAAGGCTGCATTTGAAAGCAATGTAAACCAAGATCCATGTAAATATTTACATTGGTTCATTTTTGTCCACATTTGGAAGGAGTGTAAATCAAGATCAACATAAAACTCCACTCTAGTTTAGATTTGTTGGCATTTGGATGTAGTGGAATTTTACGCCATAATTGATGTAAAGCCTCATCAAAAGTAGTTTTTTTACATTGATTGCCGATGTAAATACTATATCGATAAAATTGATGTAAAACTCCACGCTTTTAGAAATTAACGATCTCATTTTTACGATTCGTGTAAAACATCATTGATGTACTTTTACATCGATTCCAAACGTAGCCTAATGCTTAGTTTGGAAGGTGTATAAACACAATGTATAACCTTGTATTTTGTATTATTTTGTTTGTATTTGCACTCTGCCCAAACTAAGCCTAAGGCTGTGTTTGGTTGCAATGCAAATAAATTTGCACTGATGGAAAAGTGAGGCAGTGCAAATGATTTGAGTGTAAATTTTGACATATG